GTTTGATGTGCATATTGTTGTTGTTTGGGGTTGATATAAACATAGAGTAGATGCCTACCGGCTTCAAACAAGTTCATTAAATCCCTTTGGGCAGTCAGGTTGTCATTTATTAAACTTAACTTCCGGTATAATTCGGATACTAACAAGAGTTGTTTCCCTTGACGATGACAAGATATGCATGCACCATAACTAAAATAACTGTTGTTCTGATGAGGCCTAAATTATTTTCCAATATTCCACTTATAGTGTATTTAAATTAAAAACAAATATCTAATTTACCAAGTACCTAATTTACCAAATATCTAATTTACCAAATAAAATAACATCACCACAAACTCGGCAAGAGACTTTGTTCTTTTTTCCACTTGATACTCGATATGAAGCCATCATTATAGAATTATCAGGTGTAAGTGTGATTACTACACGGTACTATTGTTTAGGGGTCGCCGAGGTCACAGAATTGTCACTAAATTAAGCAGAGGTTACAGGTGATAGGTCATAAGTCACAGGTGGAATCGCTAACGTTGCGTGCTGATGTTTTTATCATCGACTAGTTTATTCTAGTAAATTATTATACGGTAATCAAAGTAAACAAAAAAACAAACAAAAAAACAACAACAATAAAAACTAGAACTGCGAAGCAGTAATGACGGGTTTCACCGGTGCCACGTTACCCTTGAACTTATGTTGACTTTCGGTGCCACGTTACCCTTAAACTCATATAACTTCCAGTACCAATGGAACCGAAAAACAGATTTCCACATAAAGATTGCAGACGTGTTATAAAATGGACACAGAGTCAATCAAACCCGGCAATATCAATTCCATTCATACATTTGTTACCATGTGTTACATATGTCAAAAAAGTGATCCTGACAAAATTTGTTATTAACTTACGCTAAGTTAGCTGACTTTCTAATGGGAAATTAAAATGCGAAAAAAATCTTTAAAAGTGATCCTGACAAAATTGTTATTTCTCGACAAGCTATTTTTGGACATCTATATGATCGTATTGATTCAATCTATATGCCCATTGGAGTCAAATATCAAAATCTTAAACGAATAATAAATATAACTCACTTAAAAAAAATCAAATTCGTCGACAATCAAAAATCAAAAGTAGCACAGCTATGTGCCTGGTCTCCGGCTATGTCAAAATGCATCACATGTTAAAATTCGATGATTATTGTTAATACTATGGTATTTTTTTAAAAAATGACAACTTCGGTGATTTCGGACATTTCGCATTGTCACAGAATGCCTAAAATAGCTTTAATCTCTAAGTCACACCCACTTTCTCAATCAAACCAAAGAAATCGTATCGATCCGACATGTAGTTTCTGAGATACAATCAAATTGGAAAAAAAAAAATAATAAGAATAATCTTAAAAACATTAAAACATAGATATGACGTCCCCCTTTGATGTTTTTAACCAGTATATAGGAGAATGTATGCTTTTCTTAATACCAATAATAGAGACATATCTGAAAAATGAACATGTATTTTGAGATAATTTATTCTCTGAACAAATTAAATTACAGAACATGAAATTACTTTAAAACCTCATAGTTACCGAAATGTCACATGACCGAATGTTGATTTCACGAGTTTGTCTACATAAAGAATTCCATTTAAATCCGTCCGTTATGTCACTTGTCTGTTTAATAGTACGTTCGGCACTACATCGATGATACGTTTTTATACGCCTACATTTTCACACCTTCTTTGTGGACACTCTACAGGTCATAACTTGAAATATAGGTATATATCCCAAAGATCTCGGTTCCTTTCGATATTGGTTTGTATGGGACCGTAACTTCGTGAATTATGGCCCCTGACTGTACACACTAGAGGTCAAAATTATTAGCTCATTTTGATGAAACTGAACATGTGTGTTTATAAGCCAAAGATTTCGATTCCTTGCGATATTGGCGCATATCGGACTGTAACTTCCGGGATTAAAGCCCTGATTGAACAAAAAAAAGTCTTTTGAGCCTGTGGAACCTATACAGGTCACAATTTTTATCCCTTTATAAAAAACGTTCAAATATATCACCGTTACACCATAATGCCAGTTGATTTTGAATTTTGTGAATTCGTTTGTGCCTTTGATCCTGTGTTCTGTCACTTATATCAGAGTATATATTAAATTTTAAATCAGAATTTGGACGGCTAGTACCCTCCATATTAACCACAGTACTAAGAATATTATCAATATCTAAACCATTCTCGTGAGCAGCCTTTCCATCATCACTTTGACGGCTTTTATTCCCCCATATCAAGAACATCACAATTTTTACGGCTATTATCTTCCATAACAAGTACATTACCAATGTAATCAGTATCCAAATGCTTATCACATATATTCTCATTATTTATATTTGTTTTCGACTGCGTTATAAACATGTCGTCTCCATGTCGAATATTTTTGACTGTCTGTGTATGCTTGCATTGTATGACTGGAGTGTTTTCTCACATGCATTCATGAGCAAGTGCATGTTGTTTTAAGAATATATCCATTATTTTATGGCTTGTTGTTTTAGAAAACTATCCTTTATTTGTATCTCTGTGCTATGTTTTAAGTTTGATAATAGCCGAAGACTGTCCATTATGTAAATACAAAGAAAAACTTCGGGGACAGTCTTCAGCCATTATCCAGTGTGAAACCCTAATAAATAGTAACCTTTATTTTACATGATTTACGTGACAGTAATAATTTATAAAAATGTGCCTGCAAAAAAGTTTTTTTTAAAGCAAATGTGCCTGCGCACGCCGTGTGCATGTGCGCGGAAATATCGATGCCTGCCTATAGGACACTGATTGGTTGAACTTAAAAATTTGTTAAACTATTTTTATACGCTATATTGAAATGTGTTCGTATATTGTCGCCGCCCTCATCCATAATTGTTTTATGCACTCAACAGGCTAAAGCTATCCTCCGATTTTAAGGTAGCATTTATTTTGATAAGACAAAAAAATCCTATTCATTTTCAGTAGTTTCTGATAATTACAGTCAGTTATCACCTTTGATCAATTCGAAAATCTTGTGGACACTCTTTGATCAATTCGAAAATCTTGTGGACACTCTAGAGTCTAAAATTATCATCCCATTGATTTGAAATTTATATGCATAGTCTTTATGTTAATGAGATGCTTAACAATTTCTATTCAGGTATTGCCCTTGACTAGTTTTAAAAATCTTGTGGGTCAAACTAAAATATTATGAATTGAAAATTTATGATCATTCAGCATTCTCTGCAGACTGCAGATGATAAAAACTGGATGTATTCAAAACAGACGTAAACCGATACGGCCAAAATTCAAAACAACCATTAATGTGGTCAAAATTTATCTAAAGTATCAATAATGTGGTCAAAATTTATCTAAACTTCCAGTAATGTCAAAATTTATCTGAACTACCAATAATGTGATCAACATATATCTAAACTACTAACAATGTGATTAACATTTATCTAAATATATAAAATTGGATTCTTTGATTGTCTTGATAATTTGTATGGTCATTTTGACTAAAAGTTATGTCATTTTTGATACAATTTTGCTGAACTTTTTTGAATGGCTACTTTTTATGCGCCCACATTTTCATGTGGACGTATCTTATCGTTGCACCTGCCCGTCTGTTTGTTCGGACATCAGTCCTTCCACAATTTGTTTGTGGACACACTACTGGTCACAGTTTTTATACCCGATTTTGATGGAACATAGGTCTATCTCCCAAAGATCTTGGTCCTTTCGATATTGGCATGTATCGAACTGTAACTTCCTGGATTATGGCCTTTGACTGTAAGAGAAATCATGGTTTTAGCTTGTGATCGAATTTTGTGAAGATAGGACTAAAACTTCTGTCAAAAATAGCTTAAAAGTATGTAATACCAAGGTTGTGGACCCTGTAGAGGTCACAATGTTTATCCGATTTTGATGAAACTTAAAATATATGTCTAGATCCTAAAAATCTTGGTTCACGTATCGGACCATAACTCTCTGAATTATGGTCTCTGATTGTTCGCCAACATTTTCCGATTTGGCCGAAACTTGGAATATAGGGTTGTCTCCCAAAGATCTCAGTTCCTTTCGATATTGGCATGTATCGGATTGTAACTTAGTGGATTACGAAAAATCACGTTTTTAGATTGTAGAATGTGTACCCTCTAGAGGACACTATTTTTAACCGATTTTGATGAAACTTGAAATATATGTTTATAACCCAACAATCTCAGTTCCTGGTGATATTCCCCCATATTAGACTGTAACTTCCTGAATTATGCCCCCTGATGGATTGTGGTCCCTGATTGTACGAAAAATCACGTTTTTAGCTTGTGGTTCCTCTAGAGGTCACAATTATTATCCGATTTAAAAAAAACTGCCGGACAAAATGGCCGCCCCTCGTGTGCAAGTAGTGTAAATGGTTGTGGACCCTCGACAGGCCATAATTTTGATCCGATTGTGATGAAACTTTATATTTATATTTATATCACAAAGATGTCAATAATCATGCATATCCAAACGTAACTTCCTGGATTATGGACCTTGATTTTTGGCTTTTGGACCCGCAAGAAGTCACAATTTGTATTCAATTTTAAAAAACGTTTCAAATATATCCCCGTTAAACTGACGAACAAAATGTCCGCTCCTTGTACGCAAATTGTGTAAAAGTATGTAATACAAAGGTTGTGGACTCTCTTAGAGGTCACAATTTTTGTCCGATTTTGATGAAACTTCAAATATATCTTTATATCCCAAAGATCTCAGCCCCTTTCGATATTCGCGCATTTCAGACCATAACTTCTTGGATTATGGCCCCTGATTGTATGATTTATCGCAGGTTTTTTTACCTTGTTCTCTATCCATCTACTGTAAAATTTAGGCGTATTTTGCCTGGCAACCGCATGTTCAAGCTATGGTTAACCAGCAAAGAACTATATAACTTTATTTTGTCATGTTTTTAGCGATAAAATACTCCATGAATTTTCTTTTGCAGGGAGAAAGTAAAAGTTGTATTTCATGTTTTGGTATCAAAAAGTTTTCACCTAGACCCGAAAAAACATGATGTGTATATTTTATGTGAGCCACAAGCCTTAGGTGGATGGAATCAGTTAAAAAATAAGATGACCCTGAAGAACAAATGGTACGTGGCCAGTGACCACTATCACTGAGATTTTTATATTTCTGTCACTATATTGTCACATACAGATTAGATAAAAGATTGTCTAAATTTGCTCCTGTGTAAAATTCAACCAAAATGCCATTTTTTAGACACCCACATGTAAATGTAGTATACATGCATTACTATTACTACAGCCCCCATATGTTGGTCCGTTGTCCACACAATCAACAGACTATGCATATCATCTGATTAGTCTTGAGGCTCAGCGCGGTGGGGGGGTGTCACTAAAAAGGGCACAAAACCAGACCCAACTTTTCTGAGTAAAATTTTGCGTAGAAGTAGAATACGATGCCGAGTGGTAATCAGTCTGCCGCTTTCGAGATATTCATGGTCAAAAGTCAAATAAGTTCATTTGAACTGAAAGTGAATGCACAGTCATTCTTGTATTATGAAAAGAAGCTGAAAATGATCAAAAGTAATCACACTTTCTATAAAAATGTAAACTTGCTAAATTCACCTTTAGTCTTAGTGACCCTGGAGGTCAAAAGGTGAAATTTACCGTTTTTGCACAAGGAAGATTTAAAGCAATAAAATGTCAACGTAAAATATAAAAACTAAAGCGAAATCTGTTCTAATTAATAATAGGAACATTTATAATTTATCTTATGGGGGTCTTAGCACCGAACTTTTACTTTGGAACCTCGAAAATGATCTTGCATAACAGAACCAACACACTTTGAAACCTGTTTCAAAAATATGTAAAAACTGTCAAATCGAAATCTCTCCGATTTATTTTCACAACGATTGTTATACATAATGATACTAGTTATATAATCTGAAGATAGGTTGCTAGGCAACAAAACATACGCCCACAGCAGCTAAATTGTCTGATTTTGTATGTAATTGGGGGCCTTTACAAGAGTTCCATACAGATCAGATTATAAGCTTCTACAAACTGAAACAAAGGTCTCAACTCTGGAAGCATTTATACACAGTGTTTAAGGTTGTGAGAGGAAGAAGACCAATGATTTTCAATGATTGATCACTTTGAAAAATCTTGTGGATGCTCTAGAGACGAAAGTTATCATCCGATTGACTTTAGATTGATAAACAGGGATTAAGGTCTTGGGACGGACAAGTATATTGATATTCAATGAATTTTGATAACTTGAACAGCTCAATTCATGATATTAAATGTTTCGTATACTAAACATTAGCATGGGGCAGAACTAAAAGTCAAACAAATTCTAATGATTTTCTGATAATTACTTAATGAGTTGTTACTCCAAATCAGATTTTAGTGTATTATAAATGTTTCATTACCGACAATAGAAAAAATATGCGACAACTCTTGTTGACTGCACGGACGACTTAGCTGCTGTGGGAGTTTGTTTCATTGCCTGGCAACCTATCTTTAATTGAAGTATAATGTTTAAATGTGGTGTAGATGTTCATTAGGTGAATGTCTTGACTGAGTTCAATGATTAACATTTTCTGCTAAAGCTAAACAGAGCTAAGCAATTTTATTGGACAGGTATCGATTGGGAACATTTTCTTCTTAGACTAAGTATAGATAATCAGTTTAATTGCTTGATACTTTTCAGAAACATAAATGTGCAATTAATTAATATGAGTGATCTATTTATTTTGGGATTGCGGACGGGGACATCAGACTCACTGTTGGCTTGTTCAAATGGTTTTGGATTCCTCTCTCTTTTCATGTGGACGTATATTGTCGTTGCCCCTTTCATCCGTCCATCCATCCATCAACAACATTTTGTTTATGGACACTCTACTGGTCACATTTTTTTTTACGCCACATTGAAATGTGATCGTATATTGTCATCGCCCCTGCCCGTCCGTCCGGCAGACGTCCACAATTGATTTTCAGCGATTTCCAATAATTACTGCCAGAGTTATGGCCCTTGATCACTTTGAAAAATCTTGTGGACGCTCTAGAGGCCAAAGTTAATATCAGATAATTACTGATAATTACTGATTTCCGATAATTACTGCCAGAGTTATGGCCCTTGATCACTTTGAAAAATCTTGTGGACTCTCTAGAGGCCAAAGTTAATATCTGATTGACTTTAAATTTATACACAGTGTTAAAGGTCATGAGACGAAGAAGCCTATTGATTTCAGCGATTTCTGATAATTACTGCCAGAGTTATGGCCCTTGATCACTTTGAAAAATCTTGTGGACGCTCTAGAGGCCAAAGTTAATATCTGATTCGATTGACTTTAAATTTATACACAGTGTTTAAGGTCATGAGACGAAGAAACCTATTGATTTTCAACGATTTCCAATAATTACTGCCAGAGTTATGGCCCTTGATCACTTCAAAAAATCTTGTGGATGCTCTAGAGATTATCCGATTGACTTTAAATTTATACACAGTGTTTGAGGTCATGAAACGAAGAAGCCTATTGATTTTCCGATAATTACTGCCAGAGTTATGGCCCTTGATCACTTCAAGAAATCTTGTGGACGCTCTAGAGGCCAAAGTTAATATCCGATTGACCTTAAATTTATACACAATGTTTAAGGTCATGAGACGAAGAATCCTATTGATTTTCAACGATTTCTGATAATAATTGCCAAAGTTATAGCCCTTGATCACTTTGTGATGCCCTAAAGGCTAAAGTTATCATCCGATTGACTTCAGATTGCTACACAGAGTTTAAAATATTAAGACAACAAGTAAATTAATTTTCAATGAATTTTTATGACTTGAACAGCTATTAAAAGTTTTGTATACAGAACTTTATAAAAACCTAACAAATTCTAAAGGTTTTCTGATAATTACTTCATGAGTTGTTGCTCTTAATCAGAATTTAGCGTATTAAAAATGTTTTATTACTGAAAAAAGTAAAGATATGCGACAACTCTTGTTGACTGCTCGGAGGATTTAGCTGCAGTGGGCGTATGTTTCGTTGCCTGGCAACCTTCCTTTATTCAATTTTAATGAAGGTTAAAATATATATTTATATCCCAAAGATCTGGTTTCCTTTCGATATATTTGCTTGTATCGGACCCTTACTTCCTGGATTATGGACCCCGACTGTCCGAAAAAATCAACTTTATTTAGCTCATTCTCTGTCCATCTCTTGCAAAATAAGAGCGTATCTGGCATGACAACCGCTTGTTTCAAATTTGATTTGAAGCAATGACTATCGATATTCATAATCCACAGCCTTCCGTTCCTGAGTTATCTCCCTTTTGCTGAAAATTGTGCAAACCAGATAGAAGCTATACGTTTTAACAAACTTTTTTCAAATTTGGTTGAAAGCAATTGGTCATAAGAGGATGAAACCTAGAGATTAAATTTCTCCAAGGATCCTAGTTAAGGTTTCACACTGTGTAGTTTGTGTGAAACACTATTGTTTTAGTTTGGTTCATTATTAAGATATCATATGAAAGCTTATTATCCCATGCCATATTGAAATGGGGTCCGTCCTTCCATCCGTCCGTCCCGATTTCATAAACCGTTCAAGATATCTTTCTGAAACTTTGTACACACATCAACCTATTACAGTTGTTGTGCCTTTTGCTATTTAGGAATTTCTGGGATTTATATTTTTTGTGTTTCCATGGAAACAAATTTGACTTAGTTTTGATACGCCCACATGGAAATGTGGTCGTATATTGCCGTTATCCCCATCCGTCCGTCCGTCTGTCTATCGTCCACAATTTCTTCTGAACACTCTACTTACTACATTTATCATCTGATTGTTTTGAAATTGATATAATATGTCATTTGCATTAGTGAGATGATGAATTTAATTTCAAGAACTTCCGTTAATTTCTTCTGGAGTTATGGCCCTTGTTTCACTTTGTTGCACCTTGTGAACGCTCTAACTACAAAAGTTATCAACCAATCTGTATGAAATTTATGCACGTCATTTAAATTAGTAAAACAAAGAAGCCTATTGAATTGCAGCAATTTCCGTTAATTACATCTAGAGTTATGGCCCTTGTTTCACTTTGTTGAATCTTGTGAACGCTCTAATACCAACAGTTATCATCCGATCTGTTTGAAATTGATATGCATCATTTAAATTAGTGAAACGAAGAAGCCTATTGAATTTCAGCGATTTCTGTTAATTACATCTAGAGTTATGTCCCTTGTTTCACTTTGTTGTACCTTGTGAATGCTCTTACGTCAAGTTATTATCCGATCTGTATGATATTTATATGCATCATTTAAATTAGTAAAACAAAGAAGCCTATTGAGTTTCAGCAAATTGTCGTTAATTACATCTAGAGTTATGGGCATTGTTTCACTTTGTTGAATCTTGTAAACGCTCTAATGACAACAGTTATCATCCGATCTGTTTGAAATTAATATGCATCATTTAAATTAGTGCAACGAAGTAGCCTATTGAATTTCAGCGATTTCCGTTATTTACATGTAGAGTTATGGCCCTTGTTTCACTTTGTTGTACCTTGTGAATGCTCTTAACGACAAAAGTTATTATCTGATCTTTATAAAATTTACATGTATCGTTTAAATTATTAAAACGAACAAGCCTGTTGAGTTTGAGCAAATTGTCGTTAATTACATCTAGAGTTATGGCCCTTGTTTCACTGAATTTAATTTCAAGAACTTCCGTTAATTTCTTCTGGAGTTATGGCCCTTGTTTCACTTTGTTGCACCTTGTGAACGCTCTAACTACAAAAGTTATCAACCAATCTGTATGAAATTTATGCACGTCATTTAAATTAGTAAAACAAAGAAGCCTTTTGAATTTCAGCAATTTCCGTTTATTACCTCTAGAGTTTTGGCCCTTGTTTCACTTTATTGCACCTTGTGAACGCTCTCACGCCAAAAGTTATCATCCGATCCTTCTGAAATTAATATGCATTATTTAGATTACTGAAACGAAGAAGCCTATTGAATTTCGGCAATTTCCGTTTATTACGTCTAGAGTTATGGCCCTTGTTTCACTTTATTGATCCATGTGAACGCTCTAACGCAAAAAGTTATCACTTGATCTTTGTGAAATTTATATGGATGATTTAAATTAGTGAAACGAAAAAGCCTATTGAATTTCAGCAATTTACAATAATTACTTCTAGAGTTATTGCCCTTGTATGAAATTTATATGTATCATTTAAATTTGTGAAACA